AAACATCTTAATTTTCAGCAGATTTAAACAATGACTATCTTTTTAAAATTCAATTTTCCAGCAAGTGCTTAAAAATTCTTTAAGGTTTTTTTCTGTTTCACTTCAAAAGATACGTTTGTTCTTTAGCCGATGGAGACAAAATCATTAAAACCTCAAGAGTTTTACTCCAGAAGCTTGTGTATAAAACATCGAGCTGCTTCGAAAGATTCAATTTACTATCTCTTTTGATTAAAAAATGAAAGAAACAAAGTGAAACACGTCAACTTTTCTCCTGCAGGAAACAAACTGAAATACGTCATGATGCTACCCCCAATGGCTAAGTGGAGTTTCATCCTCCTTTTCTGTAAGCCCTTCAGTTGTTCACAACTGTTGTCGAATGTGTTTGCTAAAATGATGGACATTTGCATTTGTTGATAAATGGGAGGGAATGGGAGTCTCTGGGTAATGTGGCAGGGGAGGAAGGGTAGGATGCTTGGGGAGGCCTGAGAAAGAGCGAGGAAAGGGAGGAAAAGAGGAGAGGAAGGGAGGAGAGTGCAAGGTTGAATGGATGAATAGAGCGACGAGAAAAACTACGAAGTGGGAATGGGGGTCTGTTGGAAATTGTTATGTCAAGTTTTCTTGAACTGCAATATGCGCCAGTGTTTAATTGTAAAGTAATAACCATGAGGGGTGACAACTTCTCACATCTGCGTGAAATATCAAACTCCTTTTAGGCAGGCACGATGTAGTGTATGCTTTTCTACGATCAAATTTCAAATTAAAGCTCTAGAATAAGATGACGTCAATAGATAATTCCTCTAATTAGTTAATAAACTACTTCCCTTTATCCTCTGAAACACTTCTCTCAATGAAACTAACTGCAAATGTAAAGCGTTAGTGAGTTGTTGGTTGGAATGGAATACTCAGTTTTGTAAGAGCTACCTGAGGCCCGTTGAACTGGAGCTCTAAATGACAACTTATTGCAGTCGTGTGATAGATGTTTTAAAGCCCAGTGATCTGATATCTTACTAGGGGACGAGCGATGCTTGTAAGACAGAGATCAACTTAGGTCTAATATGGCGGTCCTTGTCATGGAGATATAATGCAGACTTTTTCTTTCTTTCGGTATATACCACTAAGCATTCATCTATCATATCTGTAATTTCTTGTGTGTGTGTGTGTAAACCAAGTAATTGACTTGTTCCATTTGTTGTAGTTTTGTTCAAATATCCTCAGCAAGCAAAAGGATGGAAGAGTGTTCCTTCATTTTCGGAATCACATGTTCTCTCAGTTCGAAAAGGATACTACGTGGAACTAAACTTTACCATGCGTAGCCATTACAAATCTCCTTGTCAATGGGATGAGTATCTTGAGATCCGTGATGGCAATAATCAGGCAGCCAACGTTCTTGGTGTATTCTGTGGAGATTACAAAACTGCTGTAGTGCGATCCAGTGGGCGATACCTGTGGTTAAGATTTTTCCCTCGGAGAATGTATAATTTGAGTGCACACTATTCGGGAAAATCCTTCAATCAAACAGGTATGATATTCCTTGTTATATTTCAAGTTAAGCATTATTAAGGCACTCGGTTAAAATCTTTCAATTCAACTGTAATTTCATGCGATAATAAATTACATTCGGACACATAACGTTGGCCTACATAACTATTACGTTTTATTGCTCATGTAACAGTATTTATTCCCTTTTCAAGTAGCTTTTTTTCTGATATACAAACAGACAGACGAACAGCCACGGATAGAGACAAAGAGAAACAAACCAAAGAAAGAGACCGACGGAAGTTCTCTGCGAATTTGGAGTAAAAAATGGTTGTCCATACACAATGTATTTACTTCACATATTATGCCTACGGTTTGCTTGTTCTGTATGATAAAAAAAATGTTTTTTTTGTTTTTTTCTCGTTTTTCACCAATTGCCAAATGTAGCCACACCCACCATGACGCAAGTACCCAAGACACAGACTGTAATTTTGAACAGAACCTCCCACCTGTGGTGCCCGGTGGAAGGTGCGCCAGCTCCATACATTGTGTGGAGAAAAAATGGTGTTGTCGTTGAAAATAGTACCAGTGTAAGATATCAGCTTGTACCGGAAGAAAAGAATGTGAATTACAGCTGTGAGGTACGAAGAGATAAAGAGATATCAAAGAGGGAAATCAGCCTCAACTTCGAAAGTGAGTTTTATTTCTTACACCATTGTAATAGAACTATATAACTTTTTTCAATTGAAGTGCCTACATTTGTACTACTACACGGCACGACTTTGTTGGTTACGACATGACTTTCGTAAGCTTAGTGATTTCAATTCGTGTTTTATTTCGTGTAAATCAGTATCTTGTTTTATTTCTCAGTATATCTCCTTCAAGGCTCGCCGCCCTCGATGTAGTCGCTCCCGTAATTTGTCCCGTTCTTCTAAACTGCGATAGATTATCAATATGTTCGACAGTTCTACATTTAGATTAGGCTTTCTTTGATTGGATATATCAGTATGACAATCTTTGTTTGGAAAGAGGCAAGTTTGGCTAATGATTATGGTGCGAAGATTGTAATCTAGTGGTCTGAGTTCAAGTTATTCACACTGCTACTCACTAGATTTTTTTTTCGGTTTTCCCCGCCTTGTAAATTGCCAAATGGTCTGCCTCCGACCAGTAAGGACTTTTGCACGATGTTTATTTACGATGTTTGTGTCAATTAACTCTTTAACTCCCAAGATCTCAATAGTAATTCTCCTTACTGACTGCGGTACAATTCTTATGATCTTAGATCTGAGAATTTGTTACTGGATGATAATCCCCTAATTGATATTTTTCTTTATTCTCATCACTTGTCTGCTTGAAATCGTATGGATCGGCATTGTGAGAGAAATTCTCTCTTGGTCACTCGTGGGAGTTAAAGGGTTAATTTGCTTTGATTAGTTTTGGTAATTTTAGTTTTCAATTTTGTTTAAGTAATTTTTCTTGATTAATTTTGCCATACCGTTTGTAAGCAGCATTTTATCATATCCACTTTTTAATTAGCGCAGTAGAAACATTAATCTTATCGCACGTATGGAACTGAGACCTATTTTTTGTTGTTGTTTTAATTATTTAGCGCTGTTCTGCCTCTCAGAAAGAAACTCTCCCTGCTGCTACAGTTTGATGAATTTTTTGTTTTTGTTTTAGCTTAAATTCTGACTTCCCTAAATGTTGACAATAATAATTAATTAGTTCAAAGTAGATACTCAAAAGTTGAAAAATTTTGCGAATTTAAATTTAGCCTAAGTTTAAAGGCGTATCTCGTGCATTCCGTTGTAATCTTTCTAAAGCTACTTTCCAATTTTTTTCTCGATACTACAAAATAAGTTGGTTTTCCCTTTGCAATGCAAACTCAATGATGACATATTAACATTTTTTTAGCGATTTAACCGTATGAAATATACTTACTGTCTAATATTCAGAGTGCCCAGGCCCTTGTGAGTGCCACACTTTGAAGGGAACATACAACCTGCTGCGTGTGAACTGTGAAGGAAAAGAATTGATGACGTTTCCGTGGAAAATTCCTCTCCCCACAGTAACATTGTGAGTATTAATGAGAGATCAACTGTTGAGGCGCTATGTAAGTTGCAGATGACAAGGGAAATAAACGTTATTCTTCATCTTAACTGAGTAAGAGCGACCTTTAAATCAATCTTACACCAGCCTTTGCCTTGAATTTTTTGAACGTAGGTTTCATTCGGGGATCATTCCTCGCCCGAACTACTATTTCCCGAGTCTCTCGAGCCATATCGAAAGAAATATTTACCTTGTCAACTCAAACCTTTAACCTCGTGGCTACACTAAAAAGTATCTTAACTGTGATATGTTATACAATGTCCATGCCAACAGGGTAACAAAACAAGAACAAAGCTAAACAATAAGGCATTACTTCTTGTTTTCGTCGAGGCAACGTGGAATCGCAAGACGAAATATTTTGTAGAATGTGAACAATAACAGCGCAATATGCTTTCTGTTTATGCTCGAACTACTTGGCACTTTAGCAACTGAAGATATAAAGCAAATGATGAGAACTTCAAAAAGCGTAGATATGTACCAACATATTTATAACTTTTTTTTTAGTTATATTCAGAATTATCTTTGGTGTTATATGACTGCTTAAATATAGCCGCACAAGTCAAACGTAACTGTGAAAAAGTAGGTCTGACTTTATGAATAGCATCCCACCGAGATATGGCTGGAACAATGGTGCAATTTATCCATTTCTGGTGTACAACGGACGACTTAGAGTAAAACTGTTCGGTGCGGAAGAGTTTACTACTGAATGCCGCTTTTCTTAAACTGTTGTTTTGTTATTATTTATGTTGAAATATGCAACAAAGCCTTGTTGCATTTTCAAGTTACGGCGTTCTGCTTTATGTCGTTTACCGCCAAGTTATTTCGAACAAGAGATGATTTAAGATCATTGGTTCATAATCTATGTTATCGTATACGTATTTAGCTGAAAAACTTGTCTACTTAACCACGGTTGAGTCTCCCATTTTTTCAGCCTCAATGATTTGATAACTTGATCTACTCAGTACATTTACACAATAGGCGCTGGAAGCGAAAATATCGTGCGAAGGTGAAACAAAGACTTTGGAAAGAAATAAAAGCGGTTTAGAATCTCTTGATAAAAGTATCTGTCATGAGTTTTGAAAACCGTATGTATTTAACACAGTTGAATGAATTTTTCCTAACAGGAACTTGAGTAACAACCAGCTGAATGACTTGCCACAAGACATTTTCAGCAACAATACTCACCTGAGTTGGCTGTAAGCTGAGATTAAACAAATCTATAATGTGTACATTTCACTTTAAAAGGTCAGCGATATCTTAACAGGGAATTTTGTAGAATTATTTTCGTCTAGAATGTAATAATTGGATGCTCTGAAAGCGATATAGAAAATTATCTCAAAAAGGCTTTTGAATAAAGGAATAAAAAGAAACCCAGATTAAAATGTAACCTTGAGTTAGCGCTTATTGGCCTTCGAGCAACTGGGTCCTGATGAATAGAAGCACATTTTATCAGCATTATAGCCTGTTCATGTTAAACATGGTTGGAAAAATTTCTTGATGTGGAGTTCAGTAAACAACCGGCTACAAAGTTTTCCGTTTGGCATACCTTCAGCTCAATGAATTGGAGGCCGGGATCTAAAAAGGCAAGACATTATAACATCTTTAAAAAAGTTAGTTTTTTCAAAGAATGACGAATTTCTAAACCCTTAAGTTGATTGATATTGTTATTAATAGCACACTGCGATTACTGACTCATCAATGTATTCCTTCCCAACCTGGCGTAAACCTCGAGAAGGCTTCAGAATGGTTGCAGATGTCAAAGAAAAGTTAGATAAATGGCGATACAGCAGGGCTTGAACAGAAGTTTTTATTTGTATTATTATTTTTTTTTTACACATATTTTAAATATTTTTATAATGCAACGATATTTTGATAGGAACTTGGGCCAAAACAAGCTAAAAAAGTTACCAAAGGGCATTTTCAGTAACAATCCCAAGCTGAAGGCGCTGTAAGTTACCTCCGCTCATTTATAACCTAAATCAGCGGAGGCTTATACTATAAAACTTTGCATGGGAGTTTCGGCCCCGCTTTGTAACTACGTGGATATTGATAATTTTTCAATACTCTACAGCGCGAGAGCCGAATAGTTTTCCCCAAATTTATCAAAATGTATTCCATAGAACTTCTGCCAAATATCTGGACACCTCAGTTTTAAGCGCGGGAGTTCCAATACAGAAAGCATCGTTCACATTTTGCCTACTTTCTACAGTCTCAGAGGGCGAAGCCGACAAAACACTTTTTTTATAATATTTATTTCCCCGGGTGGCTGAATTTCATTCTTGGTCTAGTTTGTTAGACTATGGGCTGCTCTTTAGGGACATTCTGCAACACAATTTTCATTTTTACATTAATGATAGTTTTCTTTCCAAATTGACCATCCTTACCAGTTTTTCTCAGAAAAAAAAAACAACAAACAATAAAGCTTGATCAACAGGGAGGGGGAGATTTGTTGTTCGTTACATACATTATCAGAGAAAACACAATGCAAAGAAAGAAATGCTGGGATGGGTTTCCCTCAGACCCTCCTTTCTTGAATAGTCCGTTTACCATGTCAACAACACTGGTTAATTTCACCATTCACAAGTTTTTCGGTGATAAGTTTCCAAAAGAACAGAGGAATGGCGCATGATGCATCTTTAAAAGAAAGCAATTTCTTGAAAAATTACATTCATCTCGCAAAGCATCTATGGTTATCATGCAACAGTTCAAAACAGGTCAGGTTAGACGTACAGAGCTGAGTTTTAATGATTTTAGATATATGAAATTCATATATTTGCACTGCAGTGAAGAAACGAATTTAAGAGATCTTCGCAGCTACGAACACTTCTGAACTAGTAGTTGAAAATAGGACCTGAAAGGAAAAAAAATTGAAATTGTACTTTTACCCGTTGTTCCACGTGGTAATGAGTGTGGGAAAGAGCATGGAAAAGTGATATTTTTAACAAATCAATCTTTCCTGAATATTTCTTGTAGCGAAGAAAGACAAAAAGACTCAGTTACAACATCGTTTTTCGAAGCTCACAAGATTTTGACACTTTCACCATTAGGAGGTCTCAATTAGTGTTGTCTCAGATTAAAGCTTTTTATCTTCTCTGGGGCCTTCATATATCAAGCCTAAACGATGACATCAGTTCTTGAACGACATATGTCTGATAACGTGTATATTTGAGGTTCTTGTATAAGGGCACGAGAAGAGAAAAACTTTTTTTTCGAGCATACTAATACCTTGAACTTTGTTGTCGAATACCACACAAGTTACACTGCATTAACTTATTTTTGATAGGCTGTTGGACATCAACCAGTTGAACCAATTACCATCAGGCATTTTCAGTAACCATACCCGGTTAGAGTGGCTGTAAGTTTGGAACCTTTGTTCATGTGTAAAGAACGCGTCTAATGCCTTTCGCACTTGTGGGAAACACACACACACACACACACACACACACACACACACACACACACACACACACACACACACACACACACAACTATATTCTTCTGTTTTAAAATCACGTGCCATTACTTGTCTACGTATTCTTAACTTTTTTCCCACTTTAAATTGACTTCCCACTGTAATTTCAAGTTTTTCTCAGAATACAAGACTTTATCTTGTTCCTCATTTTGATAAAGCCGTACCATTACTTAAATTATGAGAAATGTTAAGAAATGCACTGGTTCATGGACAATTTGATCGCTACATGCCTTATTAAAGAAAAACTTGCGGCGGACATTTGGTGGAAGGGGAGAGGGTAGAAATGAAATTTAAAGCATTTAGTTGTTTTCATTGCTTTGAACTACAAAAAATCCCTAAATCGTTTGTTCTAAAATAACGCTTCTTCAAAAAGAAAGCATCGCTTCGTTGACACTAAAAGTCTGTTTGCATACATTTAGTGTGTTTCCTGACCTTCCTTAATTGGTACAAGAAACACTGCCTTTCAATGACCTTTTTGCCTTGGAAATTTGTGAAGGTGAACGCACGAGAAGATAATATCGAGCACTGGGGCATGTCCTTACGGCAAAATTTAAATCTAGAGTCTCCGAAATGTCATTAAGTAAGGCACAATTTTACGGCTCGCTGCGGAAGTATTACATACATTTGTACACCAGTATCATGCAGCTACGTGATTGTCTGATTTTAGCAAAAGGCAATTGCAGAAACGAGGTTTTTCATGGACTGACTATTCATTCTCACACCGAAAAATTCTGAGGCTGATCAATGTAACTTTTGACGTTATTTGACCAGACTCGCTTTGTACGTCAGAGAATTTCGTCTGCTACATCTCGCGAGACAATGATAAATGAGTACATGTTTTATGCCACCTCATGACTCAAGGCCCGGGTCTCCATGCTAGGAGAAGGGAGCTCGTCCACTCTTAAAGCTGCCACAAAATTCACGAAGACGCGAAAACAAAAGTAAAACAACAATCACCAACAAAGACTAGTAGGTAATAACGTGTTCTCAAGAAATAATAATTCTGTTTATTCAGTCTCTTCAACATCCGTCTTTAGGTTGACACAAAACAATTCCACGCTAAATACTTCGCTTCGTTGACCAATCAGAATGCGAGATTTTATTCAATTATGCAATTTTGAGACTCATCAATAGAGCTTTTAAAGTCATTTGACCCAACTCGTTACGTGTGCTGAAGAATTTTGCCTGCTACAGTTCGCGAGACGCATCGGTGGAAGTTAAATAGGAACTGGTCCTAAAACTGGATGATAAACGGTTATAAACAAAAACAGTGTGTTTTCTTTAATTTCTGCTCCCGCTTTCCCTCTCAGATAGATCCCTCTCCCACCCCCTGTTCTCCCGAGTTCCCTCCCCCCTGTCCCCCTTGTTCCACCTGTCTCCCTCCACTAAGGCTAAAACCAAAGAAAAAACTTACAACCTTATAGATAAAGGTCTTACCTCAGTGGGCTTGTGGCACAGTTCGAAGAGGCCGCCTTTGCACATGTTCAAAAATTAAATTTACCCTATGGAAACTCAGATTGTGCCGTGTGTCAAACAGTCGTAACACCAGAAATTTTCCCTATTCTCTTCTTTGCCAAAGTCTGTCTATTCCAGACATTCTCTACTATTATTTCAATATTTTCCCCTTCCAAACTTCTTTTAATATCTTACCTACCCTACCCCCTACCCTAAAACAAACCCATGTCGGCTGGCTCATGATGTGGTCTACACTACATATCAGTTTGTATCTTAAAGCCTTATGTAATTCTGACAACAATAAATGATTGGAGGAGATGTAGGAAGAAGAGAGGAATTTTAAAGTGTTGAATTGCTTTCAATGCTTCGATTAAAAGTCTCAAAGTCCTTCTGTTCTACAGTAAAGCTTGTTTATTTATCGCAGATTTAAAGTGTAAGCATCGCTTTATTGAGTCTAAAAGTCTGTTTGCAGGCATTTATTGTTTTCTTGACCTTCTTTAATTGGTAGAACGTACTAAACACCGCCTTTAAACAATCTCTTTTAAGGACGTTAAGCAACAACCAGTTGAAGGAATTACCATCAGACATATTCAGTAAAAACACCTTGCTGCGGTACCTGTAAGTTTATACCCTGCTTTATTTAAGCAAAAGGCGCATCGTAACAGATTGCTGGTGTACCACTTGTTGGAGTTCAAATTTAGCTATTAACTGTTCACCGAAGTAGAGGTAGCTAGTGGTAGATATTTACCAAGTCGCAAAACGGCGGTTTAAATATTTACCACTGGCCACCGATGCTCAGATGTGAGTAGTTGTTTTAGTGTATACTACAGTGAGATAATATAGCTCAAAAATATTATTTTAAAGTGATCCTGAATTATAAACCTCAACGCTCGGTCATGTTTAACGCAGGTCTCCGAGTACAGATCCATGGATGTTGACACTTAATTAGGAATTGCAAGTGCTCGAATGCCGGTCACGATTCTTAAATAACTAAATGACCTGCACTTGGAAATTTGCTGGAAATTTAAGAAATCAGGACAAACCATACAATCAAAGGAAAATAATGAAAAAAAGTACATCGTAACAGATTGGTAGGGGTATCACTTGTTCGAGTTTAAGTCTGTCCTCTTTAGAAATTCTTCATAGCTAACAACTATTAATTATTAACACATATTATTGCACCCTTAGTAAATGTCTGACGCAAGTATAAGTCAGTTTGATTGACGGCTTGTCAATCAACACAGGCAAATAAACGACTACGTTTTTAGACTTCACGATTCGTCCAAATATTTGACAACTTTGAGGTCAAATATCTCCCCTTGCCAGAACGCTA